ACTTGGACGTCTGGGGCCCCTCCCCGGTCCTTGACCCATGTCAGGAGTGCTACTTCTTGATTGTGGTGGACGACTACTCCCGCTACACCACGGTGTTTCCTTGCGATGGAAGGCCGATGTGCCTACCGTCCCTTTGGACGCCTCTGGCTAGGCGTTCTACGACCCGGTCACCCACCAGTTCGTCGCTTCTCAGAACGTCACGTTCGATGAGTTTGTTTGTTACTACAGGAGTCGCCCCCACCAAGGTACTGAGGTATTTTCCCCTGCGCTGTTCCTCAGCCTTGAGCCCCCCCCAGTCGCGCCGGTAGCCCCCCCCACCCCCCCTACCCCCCTTCGCGTCCCGCCCCATCAGGTGTGTCATACGTCACTCCGCAGTCGCCTCCTCCCTCGCAGCGTCCAGTCCCTGCTCGACGGGACCTGATCGACAATACTTGGTATATTGATAGCTACTGGTAGCAGTACATGGTGGGCTCCAAGTGCTTCATCTCCAAGTGTGTTCCCACCCCCACTAACACCTACATCGCTGTGGCAGACAACGAGCGTTTGCGTGCAAGTGCACAAGGGATCGTCATCTTGAAGGCACTAGACAGCAACACACACATCACCTTGAATGATGTGCTCATCGTGTAGAACCTGTGATTTAACCTATTTTCCATGTCGCAATTGTCGGACTCTGGCGTGGAACCTCGCACAGATCTAAGAATGCAGGACTTCATGCTTTACTACGCACCGCCCGACAAGCCGCGCAAATACCTCAGACGCAAGCACGCCGAGAAGGGTGTTTACCAATCCTGGATTTTGATATCTCGGATTGTAGTGGTGATACGGACGAGCTTATTGATCTCGTGCCGCTTCACGTTGAGTACATCCACTGCTCCAAATGGAAACACCCTGACGGCAGACCCTGGGTGCCGCATCACCCGTACCCATGTGAGACGGCATTGCACGACCCCGACCCTGACGAATCTGTAGAGATTGCCGCACCTCTACGGCTTCGACCAACGCCAACATCGTCAGCAGAGGACTTGCAGCGATCGCCGAAGCAGCACGATACATACCACCAGATGAAGGCGTATCAACACTTCAGCTCGAGGGCGCGATGCGTCGTGTCTTTGCCATGCCAGACAAGCCGCTTCCCGGCTCCGCGAACGAATGCCTTCAATGGATCCTTTGAGGGCAAAGGTGCGGATCCTAAGTCAACCACGACGAACCACGCCCCTATACCAAAGAAAATTTTCTCCAGTACTACCCCCAGTGGCGATGAAAAAGTTAAGTGACGAAAACGAAGAGGAGCTCGCATGCCGCGAAGCTGAGGAGTTGCGCCGCAAAAGCATCGTAGAGGCACGCGGCACCTTAGCCTGCAGCACTTTGGGCGAACCAGGTAGAGAAGGCGCCTCCAATGAAGGGGGGTGGGGAGGCAACGACAGGTGGGGATATACCTGCGGCAGAACCCGGGGCAACAACAAAGGGATCTGGGCAACCGCATGTGGCGACGCAGTCAGGTGCGCGGGAGGTGCAGTCGACCGCCTGCAAAGGTCGACGCTGACTAAGGCGAGCAGGTTGACGGGGTTGGTCGACCCGCGCAGAACCATTGCGAAGCCGCCGATAAAGGAGATCGACGGCCAAACTCAACCTGGGTGGTTGACGAAGAAGTTCATCGACATGTGGAGTTGCCGTTGTGGGAAAGTCGGCGGACGGTGTCGATCAGGGTGGTTGATGAACATGTGCAGCAGTTGAGGGGCTCCTCTCGCTCGCAAGAGAGACTCTGACTTCGAAACAACCTGGTCGACGGAAGTAGTGGTCGAGCAGACCCTGCTTGACAGGACTTGATCGACATGCCTGTCGAGAGGCGCTGCTCGACGGAGAAGCACCGAACTAGTCGAGGGAGGCTGCTCGGTTGCGACGATCTGGCGGAGTGTGAGTTTCACTTTTGCATCAGATACTGTCTTGTCGAGGGAGGCTGCTCGGCTGCGAAGATCTGGCAGAAGTGCGAGTTTCTTGTTCTTGTGGACTGGTATTGTGACCATTGCTTGTTCTTGTTGTCTGGTCCTGTGACCCTTGCTCTCAGATTGTGTGGTGACTTCATGATCCACCCTGAGATGTGTGTTACTTTTCACAAGATTGCCATCACCTAGACTATGGAGGTGTGTCAAACTATAATTATATCTCGCTTGTTTCTTGTTTCCTTAGTCATTCATTCTCACGTTTAATTGGTTACCACTTTCACAGTGTTTAGGGTCGTGCATGTCGGGGTCGAGCTCTACCAAGTCGATGTCGGCTTCAGCGTTGTCGAGCATCGTGGTGAAAGTGGTTGGTGGCAGACATGCGTGGAAGCTCAGCCGCTCCGGCGGCTTCCGAGTCCGGCGTGAACGTCGCAGCTCAGGCTTCTCGACCGGAACTTCCACCACGTCACCGTCGGTTGAATCCTCTCCTGCCGACAGCTCCCCTGTGTTGTCAACATCCTCGTCATCGACGAGCTACTTCATCTGTGCCCGCTCCTTAACCAACTCCTCCCCTCTCATTCGCCCAGTTGCCGACTTCTCCTTCTTCGACAACTCCCCTATCAACTTCCCCGTCTGCTGCTCCCTGGTCGTCGGCATTTCTGCTGCTGCCTTCGCCACCAGCTCCCTTATCTGCTGCTCCCCCATCGTCGACGGTTTCCCACCATCGTCGACGGTTTCCCACCATCGTCGATGAGCTAGCATCTCGTCGGCAGCCGGCGAGCCACTGGCCGGCGCCAGAGGCGATGCCTCAAGGCTCTCCTCATCGCCGGTGGCCTACGACAGCGTTGGCACCGGCAGGTCCGCGAGGAGGGATGGAGCAGTGGGAACAGGGGGAGGAGGAGGGGGCTGGACGTCCTCAACGTCCTCGTCAGCAGGCTCGCGGACTTGTGCAAGCAGCGGGAATGTCGCTGTCGAGGTGTCCGTCGGCGGGGTGGTCTGCGTCCGCCTCGACGCCGGCCCATACTTTGCCTTCCACACCTCCAGCGACTGCGTCTCGTAGAAGATCGCCTCCATCGTGGTGACGCTCTTCTTGTTGGTGAGGTCGGGGACCTCCCATGCCTTGCTCTGTGGCGAAAATCCCAGGTGAATTCCCCAGCGAGCCTTCGACACCAGCTTCCCACCACACTGCTGCTCGAGGACCATGGACTGCACCATGCAGCCCCACACATGCCAGCATGAGATCGGGCTTCTTGCCGGGCAGCAGCTAGTACAGTATCGTCCCCGTCAGCAGCGTCGACCGCTCCAAGCAATTGTGCACCCAGACGGCCTGCCGCAGGGCGAGATGCCACCAGTGGTGCTGCACACCCATATGCAGCAGCATCGTTCGCATCGACTCGACCACCGTCCGCATCTCCCGCTCTGCCATGGTGTTCTGCTGCGGGGTGTAGGGGTACGTTGGGTCGTGAACAATGCCCTTACCGTCCACAAAGGCGGTGAAATCCTTCTCGAGGAACTCCCCTCCACGGTCAGAGTGGAGCATCAGCACCGACTTCTTTGTCTGCTGCTCTGCCACCAGCAGCCACTTCTCGATCTCCCGCAGCACATCGGACTTCTTTGCAACCGGCCTCACCCACATGTAGCGGGTCTTGTGGTCCTTCAGCAGCAAGAAGTAGAGGCTTCCATCCTTTGCGGCCACCCAGAAAGGCTCGCACAAGTCGATGTGCACAACAATCAATGCCTCCTCTATGTCCGAGCTCTTGTCGGGGAAGGTGTGCCGAGCCAGCTTCCCACCCACATACTAACACACGGCAAGTCGGCCCCGGTCGATGGCTTGATGTTGATATTAGTATCAACGTCATGCTTTGCTGAGCTCTTGATTGTGTCGATGTCGACGTGCACGAGCTCGCGTGCCACCTTTCTTGCATCGACTTTGTCGCAGAAGCGATCGTCCTCAGCGCTACCGCTTTGGTCGACGACGGCTTCGTTGAGCAGGGACGGAGGTCGGTGGAGAGGATGCGGGCAGTGTAGCATGCTCGACCGAGCACTTTGCCGGCACTCGACACAAGTAGCATCGCGTCACCGTCGTCTTGCAGCTTCACACCGCTGTCATTCAGCTGGCCGGCTGATAGCAGGTTTGCCTGCACGCCTGGAACGTAGAGTACGTCGGGGATGAGAATCTGCTTCCCTCACAGAGCGACAGTGCCGCGACCTTCGACGGTCTATAGATCCCTGTTGAAACCGGGTACATGCTTCACATCGTCGCTTGGCGCCATGTTGACGAAGGCCTCCTTCATCCCCATCATTTGGTGCGAGCAGCCGCTGTGGAGGAGCTCCACCATCGAATTTGATTGCAAGGCCACTGCGACCTCCTTAAAGTCCTTACTGAACTCTTGCGCTAGTAAGACTTGTTACGATACGATCTTAACTAGAGTACGGGTTTAACTAAGGGCCTAGGCTTAGTAGCCTAGGCCAAACGGGTGTCGAGGGAGTTGTGCCAAGGGAGAATCGAGAATGTGTTTCTTCACTATAGGTTTGCAAGAACATATAGCAAAGAAACAAAGAGGTGCACCACCACAACAAAGAAACATAACTACACTAAAGCTAAAGCTACAGGCAGTTATAAACATATATAAATATATATCGCGACACACCCCCTTAACTGCCTGCAGCACATAGCTAGAGCAAGTCACACCCCCTGAAGGGGTATAGCAGGTGCGGTGGTGGGAGACGGCAGAGGGGTACGTGAGGAGGAGGAGGCAAGAGGAAGAGAGGAGAGGAGAATAGATAAGAACACAGGAGGAGGTGAGTGGGGGATGAGGAGAGGAGGTGGGGGGGTGGCCGCAGCGTCCCCTCTTACTAACCCCCTTTTACGAAAGGGGGGTTGAGTGGGGGATGAGGAGAGGAGGTGGGGGGGTGGCCGCAGCGTCCCCTCTTACTAACCCCCACATCCCCACCCCCAACCAACCACCCGCCCTCAACCTCACCCCCCATTTCAGCCGCCCCCTGGAACCGCACTCCCTCCACCCCTGTATTCCTCCATACCTCTCCCAACCCACGATGGTCCCTGTACAGTCTTTCACAAGTGGGCTGCTGGGCACAGGTGGGGCTGCTGGTCACAGGTGGGGCTGCTGGTCACAGGTGGGGCTGCTGGTCACAGGTGGGGCTGCTGGTCACAGGTGGGGCTGCTGGTCACAGGTGGGGCTGCTGGTCACAGGTGGGGTTGCTGGTGCTGGTGCTGGCGGCTGGCGCTGGTGCTGGTTCCTGGTGCTGGCGGCTGGCGCTGGGGCTGGTTCCTGGTGCTGGCGGCTGGCGCTGGGGCTGGTTCCTGGTGCTGGCGGCTGGCGCTGGGGCTGGTTCCTGGTGCTGGCGGCTGGCGCTGGTGCTGGTTCCTGGTGCTGGCGGCTGGCGCTGGGGCTGGTTCCTGGTGCTGGCGGCTAGCGCTGGGGCTGGTTCCTGGTGCTGGCGGCTGGCGCTGGGGCTGGTTCCTGGTGCTGGCGGCTGGCGCTGGGGCTGGTGCCTGGTGCTGGCGGCTGGTGCTGGTGCTGGTTCCTGGTGCTGGCAGCTGGCGCTGGTGCTGGTTCCGCCGCCACTCCCTTCACCTCCTCTCTCTCCTTTCCACAGCGTCCCGCCGCCACTCCCTTCCCCTCCTCTCTCTCCTTTCCACAGCGTCCCGCCGCCACTCCCTTCCCATCCTCCCTCTCCTCCCCATGGCGACCGCCGCTGCACACGCAAACAGTCGCGACGGGGGGGGGTGACGGGCAGGGGGCGGGGGGAATGCGACGGGCAGAGCGGGCGAATGAGTGGCTGGGGCGATCGCCGGTGCTCTGGCGATCGTCGCTGGCGTTCCCCCGTCACTCCTATCCCCTCTTCCCTCTCGCCCCCACAGAGTTCCGCCGCCACTCCCATCCCTTCTTCCCTCTCCCCCCCACAGCGACCGCCGGTGCGACAGGCGAGGTGCAGGGTGGCGCTGGCTGCAGTCGATGGCGCAAACGCGATCGCGGGCCGCTGGCGACTTCGCTGGCGACTTCGCTGGCGGGTCGCTGGCGGTCGCCATAGCGTCCGCCGCGCCCGTCGCGCTGAGAGCCGCGACGAGGCAGGCGACGACGATGCGACGGGGGGCAGCGCGAGCAGCAGGGAAAAAAAAAGATACGCAAGGTGCGGATTTCGCGCCACTAACTGTAGCAGTCGCGAAATGTGATGGGCCCATAAACGAAATAGGTCCTAGGACGGACCGCTCTGTTACCATGTTACGATACGATCTTAACTAGAGTACGGGTTTAACTAAGGGCCTAGGCTTAGTAGCCTAGGCCAAACGGGTGTCGAGGGAGTTGTGCCAAGGGAGAATCGAGAATGTGTTTCTTCACTATAGGTTTGCAAGAACATATAGCAAAGAAACAAAGAGGTGCACCACCACAACGAAGAAACATAACTACACTAAAGCTAAAGCTACAGGCAGTTATAAACATATATAAATATATATCGCGACAAGACTGTCGGCTCCACCACGCCGACCATCGAGCACGATGCCTCCCCTTCGCCCCGGGCCTTGCAACTGGAGGAATGGACGTCCTTCGTCGACGACGCCTTCTTTGAGGTCTGCTTCTCCTTACGCGGCTTCTCATTCCGACTTCGATGCCCGCTGGCCAACCTTTTGTGGTCGCCCTTGTTGTCGTCGTTGTCGGAGTCGACGCGGTCGGGACACTCGAAGGAGAGGTGGTCGGGGTTGCCGCAGATCCAGCACTCTCGCCGTCGACCACCACCTCCATAGCCCTTGTCCCGTGTCGACTTCGTCTGGTCCCACCTCCGCTACCACCTCCGCTCGGCTTCCCGTGCTGCCCCTATTGACGGCTCTGCTTTGTCGGGGCTGCGTAGTTCGCATGCAGAAGGAGCTCCGTGGGCTGTTCTGCCTCCTGCATCGCCTCATCCTTGATGATGTGGCTGGTGAGGGTGTCCTCGTCGAGCGACTCCCACACGCTGGGCATCGCCATCATTCGGCGCATGAGGTTGTAGCCGATCAGCAAGCCCTTAACGATGTGCGTGATGTACGACACCAGCCATCCAAATGTCGGCGAGGATCCGTCAAGTGCGGTTGCTGTAGTCCGTCGCAGACTCCTGCTCGCCCATCTCAATGTGGGTCAGCTGCTCCTCCAGCTGGCCAATGTACAGGACATCCGTCACCTAGTACGTCGTCAGGATGAACCACCATGCCTGGTGACTAGCGTCCAGTTGAAGTCGACACTACTTCAGAGCTATCTGCACCATCGGCGAGCAACACCTCGAGATGATCATGAAGGTCAACAGGTGAGCCGTGCGGAACTTCGCCCTCAACTCGACGCCATCCTTGTCTGGCTTTGGCATGTCGCAATCGGTGAAACCCTTCAGCCTGGTGATCTTCAGCTGAGGCTCGATTGGCTCCCTCCACGTGATGAGATCCCGTCGACCTTGCAGTGGCGCAGGTATGACGATCTTGTCTGGCGAAAACTTGAAGTAGCCGTACGCCGGTGCGATCCCGCCCACCGTCACATGTCTTGTCGACGTGTGCCTCCCACTGCTTCATTGCGGAGAGCGACGTCGGCACACGTGCTGCCTGCGGCTGCTGTCGACTGCTGCATTCGCGCCTGCATTCCACCGACTCGATTTTCGGCAGCCTTGATCACTCCTCTCAGCATCCTCGTGCCCTCGCTGCTTCCGAATTGGTCACCGCAGTCGACCTGCAGGTCGAAGCCACCTTCGTTTCGCACCGATCGAGGAGATGCAAGTCGGGAAGGGTGTTCCGTCGCCCACTGCACGCGGATCCCAAGGAGAGCCACCTTGAAGGGGAGCACCGTCCCGAACTCGCCAGCCTCGTGGCATCTCCTCGCATCAGCCAACCGTGCCACCAACGTTTCTTCTACCCCACCGGCATTTGCTAGGGTAGGCGTCATGGTTCGCACGGGCTACCGGCCTACGAACGACTTAGGTAAACGACAAGTCGGCTCCTACTCTGAAGGTAATCTGCGGGGCCGTCCACACTCACCGCACCATGCAAAGATTCACTCTACAACGGTGGGAGCTAGAATATGGGGGAAGGCACGGTTGTGTGAGTGATCGTAGCTTCGCGCGCGTTCTCTAGCACTTGCACATTCACAGGAAGAATTGGCAAGAGTTTCACTAGCAAAAGTTGAGAACAACAATGGTTGAACAAGCAATGGCAAGAATGACTACATCAGAGCCTAGCAACCTAGCAAGCAAGCTGGTCGACCGTCAGCTTAGCAAGGTCGACATCTGCCAGCGTTGCAGTAGGGCGACCTGCCAACAGAGCTAGTCGGCGGCTCGCCAACACTGCACCAACTCTGTCTACAAATGCTGCAGCCGTAGGTGACAGCAGCGCACGTGCGCACCCTCCTCGCAAGTGCGCGTTGACGGTCGAGCACGTTCTCCACCGTCGCGCAGGTGCGAGGTCGGCCACATGCTGACAATTGTGCTAGAAGATCCACGCCGACCTCGGGATACTAGCCCGAGGTTGCCTTCGCCATCGCAGCCTTGATGAGCCTTGCGTGCCTCCGTAGAACCTCGTTGAGGAGGTAACTTGATCAGTCAGGTCGACTATCCGGTGCCCTTGTCGACGATTGCCCTCGCCGACCACCACCCTATCGAAGACAACCATGGGCGACGAACCCCTCCGTCGACCATCTCGGTTGGCTTCTGCCGTCAAACTCCCACCAACGGCCGCTCGCAAGTCCCGCGCATAGGTCGACGACTACCTTTGTCGACTTCCCCGTCGAAATAGGTCGCCGGCTCCCATCGACGGCGTCATCGCAGCAGACCTCTGCAGCCCGATCAACCATATCAACCTGCACGCATCGACCTCTTCAGACGGTCGACCGCACCTCCTACGCACCCGACCACAAAGTCGGCTTCGCCCAAGCGAGGGCGGGGCGAACGTTCTACTCCCATCAACGGAACAGCAGGACATGGATATGTTATGTGATGCTATCATTTGCATTCACGTCTGTCTGCCTCCCATCATATGTTCATGCGTTGCATGCGTGGTGTGTGAAAGAATCTGTGTTTTGTGTGGTTTGGATTTTCTGGGTGTGTGTGAATTTCATTTGGCTTGAGCAGATATCTGAAGTGTCTCCTCTGCTCGAGAGCTTCCCGACGAACCGAGAATCGCCGCGATCGGAGCAAGAACAAGAAAGTTATGATCGTTCGTAATTATGGTTGTGGTGCGGCGACTATGGGAATTTGTGGAGTGACTCCATATGGGGTATAGACTATTTGGGGTTGGAAAATTCGTCCCCATCACTGTAGATGATGCCAAGTGGTTGGGAGAAGCCAAACCAGGTTGGCAAGTGTGGCCAAGTTGGGTGAGGTGGATGGCATGGGTTGGGAAAGTGAAAAATGTCAAAGTTGGGGTGCCTATAGAGAGGGGAATTGTGTGGTATGGGGTTTCCTTGGTTGGGGACTCCTTAGGGACCTTCCCTCTTGTACTCCTCATCCCCTTCTACCTGGTTCTTGCTACTCTATCTTTCTTGTGTGGATCTTGTGAGACCATTTGTGATTGAGTTCAGTTTCTATGGAAGCATACCCCCTAGTGCGCCGAAATTCATAACTCGAGTTATACTCCATCTTTTGATACGATTCAAAATGTGAAAGTTAGCCACGGTCAAGCGCTACACCATACTCGAGTTTCATAGAATTCTAAAATTGCGTTTTTTGTCGATTGCGTCTCTTGTGAAGTCGACAATTCTGTCCAGAAATATAGTCCAACGATTTTGAGATATTTCAGCCCCCAATCTTCATAGACTCCGTCCTTAGTCTATAAAAAGTGGTATCAGAGCTGATTGAGGAATTTGTGAAGAGTCTAATAAGGTGTAAAGAACCTTCTAGACCCACCATGGCCTGTGGGTGTGCCTAAGTGGAGTTCTAGAGGTTGGATGTGACTTCTGCTAAGGGGAAACTCTGCCGAAATTTCGTTGGCGCTGACACTTGTGGAAATTGTGTGGGACTTCTGTGTGGAAAGCAAAGGGGGGAGCTGAAACTTGAGATTGGGAGAAGAGAAGATGAGTCAAGGGAGTGGAAATGCAGCTGAGAAGAGGAATGAGCCGCCACCATCCAAGATTGAGGCATTGGATGGCTCCAACTATGAGGAATGGAGCGGGCGGATGCGGAGTGCATTTAAGCGCTACAAGCTGCTGAAACTTGCGATGGGTGAAGAGAAGATGCCGGAGGAAGGCGATGCCCGCGATCGGTGGATTGAGAAGAGCGCAGTGCTGTATGACCTCATCCTACAATTGGTCAACAATGACATGTTCCAGCACATCAAGGATTTGGTGGAGCTGGATGATTTCGGACCGAAGGCGTGGAAGCTACTGCGCGATGTAGTTCAGCCCAACACGATGCCGATGGTGATTGTATTGGAGAAGGAGATGGCGGCCCTCTCCAAGCGATTGGGAGATGATGTGAAGCCGGTCCTTGACAAGATTAAGGACACCTATGCGAGGATGGTAGCAGCGGGCAGCAAGGTGTCGGAGATGCAGCAGTGCACCAAGATCATCTCGGTGCTCGACAACTCGTGGGACAAACTCACCCCCACCCTCAACGCTCAGCAGGACAAGTGGACACCTGAGTGGCTACGGCAGCAGATTCTGCAGGAAGACTTCCGCAGGCGCCACACGGAAGGCGGCGCTGCCAACAAGACTGCTGAGGGGTATGGAGCTGCTGGAGGCAGTAGAGGACGAGGGGGTGGGAGAGGCCGAGGCCGTGGGAGAGGCTTTGGCAGAGGGAGAGGCCGAGGTGACTATAATGAGGGGCATGGGAGCTCTGGTGGTAGGGGGAGTACCCGAGTGGAGGGTGCGTGCTGGTACTGCAAGAAGGCTGGACGAGAGCTCAAAGAGAGAGCGGACACAAGGTGAAGGTGATCCGCACCGACAACGGAGGAGAGTTCATTGGCAATGAGTTTGAGGCGGTGCTGAAGAAGAAGGGCATTCAGCATCAGGTCACAGTGCCCTACAACCCTCAGCAGAACGGCGTGGCTGAGTGGCTCAACCAGACCCTGCAGGAAGGTGCTCGCA